CTATGTTTTAGCAAGGCTTTTTAGTAATACTTTAGTCATAAACTCTTCATGATGTCATGCTTGAACATAAGCTTGATATATTGCAAGTTTTATGCTTTTGAATAAGTTTGAAGTGAACTCACATTATCTTTTATACTGATTTTAACTCATTATTAATAAAATATACCCATGGTATAAATCCTATCAGAGACAAATGAATGTCTGTATTTGAGAAATCATATTTACTGAATATATTTTATCATTTTAAGAAAACAGTTTAATGAAATTGATCATAAATCGTAAACATTTTAATGATCTACTTGTTAACTTTGTAAAATTGACTTCATTAGTCGATCAGGTTTTTTTGTGTGTATTTCCCTATATTTCTTTTATGTTATATTGTCATTTATTGCTTATGTTCTTACGATTTAATTTTTAAGGGATCAAAAATGACAGATACACTGTAAGCGTCCTGATCTTTTTCCACATTAAGGTTTTGTTCATTCTCAAAGTTTACATTGCCGTTGATGAGCCAATGATACAGTTTGTGGCACAGAGACATTTTGCTCTGTGCATTTTGCCATCATGTGTCACAGCAAACTATATATACATCGTTTTTAAACTGTCACAATATAGATGATCTTATCTTAACAAATCTAGCTGCATTCCACTTTATCAGTTTTCTTGGATGTTTTCTTACAGATTGAGAATATCTACAAATCCCTTACCAGTTTATCACAAGAAGAAAAGATAAAAAAATTGTTAATGCTTAAACTTCGATATTTCACTCCTAAAGAAATAGCAAATCTCCATGGATTTCCTCCAGAGTTTGGTATGTGGGATACATGCAGACCTCAGCTTTCATTTATTAAATGTCCCAAAATTCATTAGGGACTCATATGTGTATTTTATGAAGAAACCCTTGGTCAGACAGATGATGTAAGAAACCTTTTGCCTTTCCCAATTGTGCAATATTTGACATTTCCCACTTTTGTTTATAACCTGCCTCAATCCATTCCTGTCAGACTCAATTCTCCCTCTCCCTCTACTCCAGTAATGGTCCAGAGTGACCTCAGGAACAGGGGACCAAATCCGCAGTTCCTCACCAATCCCTGCATTAGTAGCATCTCTTTCTCCAGTGTATTTTCTTGCTTCCAGAGGACCTCGTCTGATAACCTAACACTACATCATGTGAAAGTATGCCGTGGATTGTCTTTCACTTATGTAGACTGAGGAATTTAATTATTATTTTTGTGAGAGGGGTTTATCCTCTTCGAAGTATCCATTGTACGCCTTTGTCGTTCCTTACAGTGTTTAAGTGGAGAAAAGAAAAGGTGGAGAAGTGGTCTAGGAAGGAGCTTTCCTAGTGGAAAGAAAGGGTGCCTCAGGGGCATAGATGCCAGAACTGACAAAAGATTAGGGGACCTGAGGTAGGGAATCTCAAGAACAAAAATGAAGATACCATGGTAGAGTAAGAAAGACAAAGCGCTAACTCTGCAGTCCCGGAATCCAAGGATCATTGCTATTAGGAGATGGGACATGTTGGCTCTGCTTCTTAGAGCAGCCTACCCCCTTCCTCACCCCACTTCCTTGGCGCCTGTGGTTTCCCCGTATGGATGCCATGAGTGTCTTAGGCTGGAATAGGTATGTTTCCCGTAACTGGCTCATGGGAACGGGAAAGACAGACCTTCTTAACGTGCTTTCAAGGGCTACACGAGGGAAAAATGTGTTTTTGATAACTCTGGAGTATGAATGCAGAAAAGCCAAACTTCACTACATCTAGTATTGTTGTAATAGTAATACAGCACTATTCTTGAAGCATGTAATGTGCTAAATAGATCATGTTTTAAATTCTAAATAACAGATTTACAGGTGAAGTTTTAGATTACAACATATCCTTTTGTATGTTAGGAATACAACTGCCAATATAATTTGACTACCCTCTTGGTAATTGATTCTCTGAGCGTAGTCACAGCAACCAGATTTATTTTGTACTCTGCCTTTTTCTTGATGATCTCATTCAGTCACAAATATCCTGGGGAGTGTTATTTAAGAAAAACACAGACTTTCCTTGTCTTATGTCACACAGTGAGTGAGAACATAATAAAACAAAGAGCTGGGAGTTAAACTCAAGAATTTAGCCCCCAGTCTGCTTTCCTGATTAGTTTTTCTTCTTTTTTAGAATGAACAATCAAAGGTACTTTCCATAGTACTAAAGAGAAAAAAAGAGATTTACTCTCTAATAGCAACTAATTCCTCAGTTTTATCCAAGTGCTTGTTTTTCAAGTAGTAGTCAGCACTTCGTAATACTGAAACTTAGTATGGACCCCAGAGTCAGACTGACTTGAGTTCGAATCCTAGCTCTACCCTGACCACTATCTGCCTTAAGTTTATGCATTTGTAAAATGGGGATAATTGCAGCACCAAAGTCATAGGGTTGTTGTGACAGTTATGTAAGTATACGTAAAATGTTTATAAAATATCTGACATATAAAAAGTGTCAGTTTTTTTTTTCTTAAATCATAAGTGTTTATTTGCTTCTCTCACCTTTACTTCATAATTATTTTTCTTATTATTTAGCATTTGCAGTTGGGTAAAATAGGACTTTCAAAGCTCTCTGAAAATATATGCATACTACATACAAGAAAACTTTTTTCGTTGCTTGACCTTCTTTTAAAATATGTGATATATTTGTATAGTCAGGCCTGCCCTAGCGTCGCCACTGAGCAGCACTCTGCCAGAACTGTCCTTCACATATGCTTTTGACATTGTCGACTCTGGGCATTGTTTGAGCTGCCTGTGCACTGGCCATGATGGATTTGCATTGATTTTTTCCTTTCATTTTGCCCTGGTTCCCTTTGTGACTAGTTGCATGCATTTGTGAGACTGCAGGCTTTGGAAGGGAGGACTACTAACCTGCACTTAATGAAAAAGCTGCTATCTTGATTTCATTAATTCTATGTTTCTTTGTTTTTGAGGATTATTATTTTTTTAAATGTACCTAAGTTTTTAAAAAGTCACCTTTGAAAAAATTATGTAATTTTTTTCCATAAGCTAGTTTAGAGTCTAATATCTATCTATATATAAAATATACGCACACATATATAATTTTTACAGATCTGCTTTGTTTTCAAACCTTTCTTCTTCTGTGATCTATTGTTAATATTGCGAAAGCTCATTCCTGCAATATTCTAAAAATCTGTAGATATATTTGTACCTCTGGCACTTTGAATTTATTTTTGAGAACTAATAAGCTTGCCTGAGACATATTATCTTTATAATAGCAGTTTTATGATCATACTCAATTGCAAATTTAGTTTTATTATGGTAATTACTGTTATTATAGTAAGTATAAATCAAGTGTTGATGAGACGACTTTATCATAAGCAACTCTACCTTCTGATCCTCAGAAGTATATGAAATTTTGTAATTCTTAATGCTCTTCAATTATTTCCTTTATTTTATTATCTAATTTGTTTTTCCTTTATTTAATTGCTATGCCAAAGGATACTGAATGTGAACTTCTAACATTGTAACTAACATTATGATGTACATTCTTAGGCATAGACAATCTTTTATATTGGTCCTTACAAGACTTTGTTCAGGCAAATGTAGGCCATTTTGTTTTGATAGAGAATGTAGCAAATAGAAGTCCACTGTGAGAAAGTCAGTTTGTAAAATCAGAATATTAAAAACGACTGTGAGGAACTTGTATCCAGAATATATAAAGAACTCTTACAACTCAACAATAAAAAGAAAAATAATCCAATTTAAAAATGGGCAAAAGACTTGAATAGACATTTCTCTAAATAAGATAGACAAATGGCCAATGAGCACATGAAAAGATGTTCAGCCTCATTAGTTATGAGGGAAATGTAAATTAAAACCACAGTAGATACCATTTCACAAAAAGATAATAACAGTGTTGACAAAGCTATAGAGAAATCGGATTCCTTTATACTGCTGGTGAGAATATCAGATGGTACAGATGCTTTGGAAACCAGTTTGGCATTTCCTTGACTGTTAGACGTAGAGTTCCTGTATGAACCAGTAATTTCATCCCTAGTTGTGTATTCAAGAGAATCGAAAGCAAATGTCCATGCAGAAACTGATGATAATGTTCAGAACAGCATTGTTCATAATAATCAAAAAGTAGAAACAACCCAAACTTCTATCTGTGGATGAATGGATCAATAAAATGTGGTATATCCATACAGTAGAATATTCTTTGGCCATTAGAGGAATGAATTATTGGTACTTGCTATAACAAATGAGCCTTGAAAACATGCTAAGTGAAAGAACCCAGAAACAAAAGCAGCATATTATGTGGTTACATTTATATGAAATATTCACGATTGGCAAATCCATAGAAACAGAAAGTAGATTACTGGGTGAGGGACAGGGAGGGGAAATAGGGAGTGACTGTTAATGGGTACTAGCTTTTTTTTATTGAGGTATAATTGACATATAATATTGTGTTGGTTTCAGGTGTGTAACATAATATATTGTAAAATGATCGCCACAATAAGTCTAGTTAACATCTGTCACCGTACATTACAAAAATTTTTTTTTTCTTGTGATGAGGACTTTCAAGATCTACTCTCTTAGCAACTTTCAAATATGGAATACAGTATTACTAGCCTTAGTCACCATAGTGTTCATTACATCTCCGTGACTTATTTATTTTATAGCTAGAATTTTGTACCTTTGGATCCCCTTCACCCGTTTTGCCTCTCCCCACCAATCTGTTCTCTATATCTATGAGCTTATTCTCTTTTTTTGTTTGCTTGCTTTGTTTTTTTTTTTAGATTCCACATATAGGTAAGATCGTATGGAGTTTGTCTTTGTCTGATTTAATTCATTTAGCATCCTCATTCTCCATCCATGTTGTTGCAAATGGCAATATTCCGTTCTTTTTTATGGATGAATTGTAGTCCATTGTGTGTGCACGTGCACGTGTGTGTGTTTGCATGTGTGTGTATCTCACATTTTTTTTATCCATCTATTCATCCATCTATTCATCCATCTGTTCATCCATCTATCCATCTGTTCATCCATCGATGGATAATTAGGTGGTTGTTTCCATGTCTTGGCTACTGTAAATAATGCTATAGCAAACATGGGAGTGCATACATCTTTTCTAATTAGTGTTTTTGTTTTTACTGAATAAATACCCAGAAGTAAAATTACTGGATCATATGGTATTTTGATTTTTTTAAATTTTTGAAGAATCTTTATACTTTTTCTATAGTGGCTGAACTAATTAGCATTCTCATTAACAATAAACAGAGGTTCCCTTTTTTCATGTCCTCACCAACACTTATTTCTTGTCTGTTAATGGCCATTCTAACAGGTATGAGATAATATCTTATTGTGGCTTTGCACTTCTCTGATGGTTAGTGATGCTGAGCATCTTTTCATAAACCTGTTGGCCATCTGCATGTCTTCTTTGGGAAAATGTCTATGCAGAGCCTCTGCCAAATTTTAATTGAATTGCTTGTTTTGTTGTTGTTGCTGTTACTATTGAGTTCTTTTATATTTCGGATATTAACTCTTTATCAGATTTGCAAATATTTTCTCCCATTCGGTAGATTGCTTTTTCATTTTGTTGATGATTTCCTTTGCCATGCAGAAGCTTTTTAGTTTGATATATTTCTACTTGTTTATTTTACTTTTGTTGCCTTTCTTTTTGGAGTTGGATACAAAAAATTATCCATAAGACCTCTGTCAGTGAGCTTACCACCTATGTTTTCTTCTAGGTGTTTCATGGTTTCATGTCTTGTATTCAATTCTTTAATCCATTTTGAGTTAATGTTTGTATACGACCTAAGATAATAGTCTAGTTTCATGCTTTTGCATATGTCTGTCAGATTTTCCAACACCATTAATTGAAGAAACTGTCCTTTGTCTATTTTATATTCTTGACTCCTTTGTTATAAATTAATTGGATTTATATGCTTGGATTTATTTCTGGGCACTCTGTTATGTTCTGTTGATCAATGAGTCTATTTTTATGCTTGTACCATACCATTTTGATCACTATAGCTTTGTAATATGGTTTGAAATCAGAGAGTATGATGCCCCCATCTTTGTTCTTCTTTCTCAAGATCGTTTTTGCTATGTTTTGGGGTCTTTTGTAGTTCCTAATGACTTTTAGGATTGTATGCTCTATTTCTGTGAATATAACCATTGGAATTTTGTTAGATATTGCATTGAATCTGTAGATTGCTTTGCATAATGTGGATATTTTAACAATATGAGCACAGAATGTATTTATATTTATTTGTGTCTTCTTCAGTTTCTTTAATCAGTATCTCATAGTTTTCAGTATATAGGTCTTTCATCAACATGCTTAAATTTATTCCTAGGTATTTTATTCTTTCAATTGTACTTGTAAATGGGATTGTTTTCTTAATTTCTCTCTGATAGTTCATTATTAGTGGATAGAAACACAACAGACTTTTATATATTGATTTTGTATCTGCAACTTTACTGAATTAATTTATTAGTACTAACAGTTTTTTGGTTAAGTCATTGGGGTTTTTGTATACAGTATCATGTCATCTGCAAATAGTGATAGTTGTGCTTCTTCCTTTCCAATTCGGATACTTTTTTTTTTTTTTGCTCTAATTTCTCTAGCTAGGACTTCCAATATTATGTTGAATGAAAGTAGGAAGAGTGGGCATTCTTGTTCCTGATCTTAGAGGAAATTTTTCAGCTTTTTACCATTGAGTATAATGTTAGCTGTGGGCTAGCTTTCTTTTCGAGGTGATGATGAAAATGTTCTGAAACTAAATAGTGGAGATGTGTGCAAAACTCTGTGACTACACTAAAAACCATTGTACACTTTATAAAGGTGAGTTTTATAGTATGTGAATTCTATTTTCATAAATCTGTTATTAAAACAACTATGAAGTAATGGTAGCCACTGCTTTTCCTAAAGTGCACTAATGAACAGATTTCTGAGTTCTGTGGATAGTATATGTATACGTGTGTGTACTGCATATAATATATGTAATATATAATAATATCACATTGCGTCATGATGTATTGTTATATAATATTTTTGGCTCCAAATTCCCGTTTGTTAATTGAACTTTGTGGAGACCTTAGGGACTTATAAATGTAAATGATCATTGTTCTCTTACATCCTTTTATCTCTGCAAATTATTATTACAAATGATTGTATTATAAATTGTTCTCTCTCTTTTCTAGGATTTCCTGAGACTGTAACAATGAAACAGCGTTATCGTCTACTGGGAAATAGTCTCAACGTGCATATAGTAGCTAAGCTAATCAAAATCCTATGTGAATAATGTAAAAGTAACTCTGAAGGATGGTTACAGTGTTCCTTCACATCCAGGTGGTCATTCTGAAATTCTATTTTAAATCGATTTTGATGAAATTCAACTAAATTACTTTAATCTCTCTTTAGTAAGAAAGTTGGATTTATTACAAAATGCTAGTTTGTTTCCTTAAATTTATATTATTCCGTTTTGTAAATTCTTGTTATCCTTTAGGTGAATATATTTTCATGTGAAATTGTTAAATATATATGTAAAATATTCTCTTTATAATATGATATAAACAAATTCAGGAATATTAGAATTTAGTGTCTACATAAATATTTTATAAAGTGTCATGACAGGCATAGTATAATGAACCTGAGAAGTCGTATATTTTTATGTTAATTAAAGAAGTTGGTATATGAATTGTATCATTTTACTTTTTGTTAGATGATTATTCTGAATTCTAAAATGATGATTCTAATTCTAGCCTGTTTCAGCTATTGAATATTTCACTTAATTTCACTTCTATAAACATTCCTTTATTTTATCGAAACAAATGCTTATACTACTTTAAACCAAAGAATTGTTATTCACTTTATACAATAGTCTGCAGAAAATGTCAGAAAAAATCATTCTAAATCCTTGATTACCTCTGCTACAGAAAGCCACGGACTATATAGGTACATATTACCTTTAATTCTACCTCCATTTGAAAGGCAAAACTCATTGTCCCTTCTTCATTTGTGCATACTTCCTTTTAGTTTGCTTTTATCAGAGCTAGCTTTTGTCTTCCTTCTCAGCTTCTTGTTGTAAATTGAATTTGCCATCACGTTCTAAGGAAAGTAGCGTGGCATTAAGATTTTAGGGAGAAAACTCTGCCCTCTGACCCCATTCCTTATGACAGATCTGTGAATTTATAACTTTTAACCTTCTCTATCACCTTTTCAGTAGGCTTCTTGGAATTAGGGTTTCTAATTGGACTAAGTCTTGCATCAGAAATCCCATGGTTTTGATTTCAGTGATAAAAGCAAGTGACGTGGAGGAGAAATGAAAAGAAATAAGACAAGAAATTATATCACAAAATTTTAATTCATGTTTTCTTAAAAGACGGTCATTCGATGTGGAGAAATTGGAACCCTATGCATTGCAAACAAATGAAAAGAAACAGAATTACCTTATGATCCAGTAATTCCACTTCTGGGTATTATCCAAGACAACTGAAAGTGGAGATTTACAGATATTTGTACACCAGTTTTCATAACAGTATTATCGACAATAGCCAAAAAGTGGAAACATCCAAAGTGCCCATCAGGAGATAAATGGATATGCAAAATATGGTATATACCTAAATGGAATATTATTCAGCCATTAAGAGGAAATTCTGACATATGCCGCATCAAGAATGAACTTTGAAGCCATTATGCTCAGTGAAATAAGCCAGACACAGGACAGATTTTGTATAATTCCACTTACCCGAGGTATGTAAAAGAATCCAGTTCATAAAGACAGAAGGTAGACTAGTGATCACCAGGGTCTGGGGGGCCTTGAGGGTGGGTGTTAGTTTTTAATGGCTGCGGAGTTTCTGTTTGGTGGTGAACAAGTGCTGGAGATAGATGGTGGTGACAGTTGCACAACAGTGTGAGTGTACTTAATGCCTCTGAACTGTACACATAAAAATCACGGAAATGGCAAATTGTATGTCATGTTCATTTTACCTACATGTGCGCGCACACACACAAACATAGTTTTCCCCACCGCCATTTTTTTTCAGAAAAACTCTGATAAATATGGATATAGGGCAGCTGTAGGCCAGTGCATATATGTATCAACTATCAACATCTACATTTTGTGTAAATGTTTAAAGACATAGCTTATTACAAGTCTCATAAATTTTAGTATAAAACAATGTGAAATTACTTTGGTATATTTTACTAGGTTCTTATCGCTGCAGAAAGATTTTTACATAAAAATTTTACATAAAAATGCTCAGAGTTTCACTATGATTATGCTATAATTATAGTATCCTGTGCCCCTTAAGCAATGTTACATAAAATAAGTGTTGAGTTACAGTGCGGTAACTATAAACACATGAGAGCTCTGTGGAGACATTCATTTACAAACTAGAAGATAGAATATAGGTTTATGAAATATTTTAAATAATTGAAGTATATTCATGGGCAGATGGTGATTCTTGCCCTTAATTCGTAATTGAAAATATACAGTAGCAAGCATAAATTCACACTTTATAATTTGCCAGCGTGTCATTTAATTAGCATATACACTTGCATAGTTAATTTAGAAACTCATTTTATTGAATGCCCACTATATGTTATTTGTAATAAATATGCATAAAATTTGCCCTGGAAATTTCTGATATCTGGACTTAATATATTTATTTAGTATTTTGGAAAATATAGCCTCTCCTTTTAAAAAGAAGCGTACGTTATTAAATCAATGCCATTTCTAACAGTCAACTAATTTTTTATTCTCCTATTTGCATCACTTTTGCTCTTTTAAATGGCTTGCCAAATAACTTTAAGTTATTTATTAACTTGCCTCATATTTTTAGTAGATTTTTTGGACCCCAAAATAATGGATAAGTGATAGTCAAATGAGTTAATACAAACAAAATGAATCATATTAGAAAATGATTTGAAGAGGAGATGGGTAGTTATCATAGGAAAAAGTGCCAGCGCTTGATAATCTTTTATAAGGGGATCTCATGTAGGTTTTTATTAATTCGTTTTAGATCAATATTCCTCTCACTTTCTCAGGAAACTTACATTATTGTTCTTTCTTTTCAATATTTAAACACCATCTCAATCATTCCTAGCGTTTTCTATGTTCAAATCTCTTTTATATTAAAAACAACAATGACAACCACAAGTATAAACCTCCCTAGTTCCTATATTCCTCTTTTGTCTCTTCCCTTTCATAGCCATCCAAATCTCTTAGGTTATCTATAATTATCCCCACTTATGCATCTCTTGTCCAACTCTTCCACTGCTCCACTATATCTTTGGCCTTGGTCAAGCTACCAAAAAGAGCGTTTACTCTCATGATCGGAGATCTCTGTGTGCCTGAGGTTCTCAGTCCTTATCTTCCCTTACTTCTCAGCAATGATCAACACTCCTCTTTCTTGATATGGTTTCTTCCCTTGGCCTCCATGGCATCACACTCATATTTTTTTCTAATTAAAGCATAGTTGACATACAATATTATATTAGTTTCAAGTGCACAACATAGTGATTCAACGTTTTTGTGTCTTAATCTTTATTGGTAGGCCATAGAACCAAATGATGGGGGGAGGGTGGTGAGTCACCTGTTACTGAGGAGTCAGCTGACTCTCTATTCAGGCATCTCTGAACATTGTGTTCTGGCTATTAAATCAGACCTGTGTGGTGGGCACTGCCCCGTGCCAGCCAACTTGCTCCCTCTCTCAGGTAGAGCCTTTTAAAAGGACAAAACCAGTAGTTGAAATTGTGAAAGTTGAGGGACTACCCAGCACTTTAAAAAAATTTGAGGGTAATGAGTAGGGTTTCTTAACAAAAATCACAAACTATCTTTTGTTCTAATGTCAACCTAGTTCGGAGAAGAAGTTATTAGACTGGGGGCTTCTGAGACTAGAGAAATGAAGCTGAAAATGAGTGAAAATGGTTTAATCATAGTTATCGCAGTACAGAATAAAGAAGTAACATCTACGTCAGCCAACCTCCCGCCCATATGGCAGGTTGCAGGCTGCAGGCCAGCCGTTGTGTCTGCATCCAAACTAAAATAGCTCTGGTTGCTCTTGCTGTTTAAATTATAATTTTATAATTTAAAATCAAAATTTAGAGTCTAGTGGTTCCCAAATAAATCAAGATAACAAAATAAGGATCTAGTTTTAAGCTTATATAGACAAAGTATTTAAAGTGTGTTTTCCTGAGTTGCTTATGTTATTTGAGAAGGTTAACTTTTCATAATTTAGTCTTCAGCTTGGAGCTACAACTGTTTTAGGGCACTAGTTACAAACTGACTTACGAATAGCTTTGGACTTTGAAATTCAATGAGGGTCATATTGTCTCAGCACTTTTTTCAGAGCCTGTCATTGAACTCATTATGTACTTTTTCAAGATATCCTTTGAATCTCTCTGTCTTAGAACTCTCTTCCTCTCAAATTCTAATGTCAGAGTAAGCTACATACAACTGTCATATCCACTTCTGAACATGCATTTTTTTGATCCAACTCTAATCTAGTCTCTTCCTTCTTCATTTCTCATACTCTCCGAGATGTCTAGTTTTGCCTGTAATATTTCATGCGGGAATGTCTTTTTGCATATTTTATTAATAGGTAGTAAGAATTCTAAGCGTGTTCTTCAACTTGAGTTTACACCGGTCAACCTATCTGCACCCTTTCCCCTCTCCTGTCATTCCTCCATTTTGCCACTAAAATTTTAAAACTTCAGTTTTTTTTTTGTATTAGTCAATCTGTATTTTTTAAATTAAATTTCCATAAAACTTCAGTTTTTAAAAAATTTATTTGTCCATTTTCTCTGTCTCTTGTTTCTCTCTTTAGGACTTCTAAGAATTTCTTACACTAAGATACTCATGCTCTTCAAAATCATGCAACCGTGACCCAAAGTACATCACTGTTTGTCTTGATTTGTAAGTTTATTCATTTTACAATTTATTTGTTCAGTAAATATGAGCATGCACAGAGAACTTTTTTTGGCTTCCTACTCTCCAAGTTCTCAAATAAATTGGTTTAATATTTACCATAAGTAAATATAGGTTCTGAGTCTTATATTCAACTACGTCCAACACTTACAACTCTCCCTCAAGTACACTATACTTGATTTTCAAAGCTTCCGAAATCTTATTTTTCTTACAATACGAATCTAGATAGAAATTAATTTTCCCATAGAACTCTTTATTGTAGCCCTAGGTTCTCATTTCTTTGCTTGTGTGTACTATGGTTTCCTTGTTTACTTTAAGCATTTGCTCTATATTTTGTTTGCATCTTTGTATCTATTCATATCAGGGTAGATTCACATTATGAGTAAAAATAGAGATGTTTATTTAGCCAAGTTGGGTCTATAATCAGATGAGATCACAATCTAAAGAATATAACGAGAGAGAGGAGCACAAAGGTTTGGAGCTGAACTCTTATGTTTCTGAAGATTCAGTCCTTAGGTCTCTCTACTCTTCATTGTCCAAGCCATTTTTTCTCAGAGATCTCACCCTTTCCTACAACTTCTATCTTTTTGCCAGTGACACCCAGATGGCTCCAGATCTGATAGTTTTCTTAAGTCCTAGAATTTTATGCTGGGACATTTTTAATTTGAATATCTTCCTGTTGCATCACATTTAACATATTTGAAAACAAATCATCCTCCATTCTAAAATCAGTTCCACTCATGACCAACTTCAATATTTCTCTTTATGGTAC